ATTGTGACTTGCCCAGTGGGTTTCTATGGCCAAAGGGAGATTCACACTCTGGTTTCTAGATTCATAGTCCAACACTCAACCCACTACGCTACATGGCTTTCACAAATACAATGATTGCATGCCTTATGAGTTTCTTAGGATTTTCTTAGGCAAGGAAGACACAGAGGTAATTTTGGCAGTTCCTTCCTTTGAAATATAGCCTAAAGCACCTAGTTGGTGGTGTCTCATCCAAGTACTAAACAAGGCTGACCCTGCCTTTAGGGTATTTAGGCCCTTCACAAATACCTTACCCCCAATTAAAAGACCTCCTGCAACAGTTAACACTCAAAGGCCTGAATAAACAGAAAGGCAGAAGATAAAGGTGGGATTTAATTCTGAGTGGAACTATATCCCACTTGATCTTGGAAAGGAGCAGGGTCTGGTCTAGTTAGAACTTGGATGGGAGGCTGCCAAGGAGTACCAGGTACTGTGGGCTGTATTTCAGAGGAAGGAACTGGCAAAACCACCTGTGAGTATTCCTTGCCTAAGAAAACCCTATGAAATTCATGGGATCGCCACAAGTGGACAGGCTACTTGAAGGCATATTGTGTATAGGATTGTGCAATTGATCCATCACTCAAATGCATACCTGCCTGTCACCTTCACTCTTCTTCCCACTTTTGTCTTCCTAGTGATCCCTATAAAGAGAAAATCCAAGCTTCCCCCCCTCCGTGTAACCAATATTGATTAACAGAAAAAAACAAACCACCTTCACTTTTGAGCATGCTATTGTCCTGCTAGTATACTATTGCTATGCCATTTTTCCTACTTTGCTCTTAATGGGACAGAGTGCATACTCCAAATTACGAAGCAGTACAGTACAAATCCAAGGGCAAACCAGGGCTGACCCTGCTTAGCTTCCAGGATCAGACGGGATCTGTTGTTGTTGTGTGCCTTCAAGTCGTTTCCAACTTAGGGCGACCCTAAGATGAACTGATCACTGGGGTTTTCTGAAGCTGCGAGTATGTGACTTGCTCAAGGTCACCCAATGGTTTTCATGGCCCAGCAAGGAATCCAACCCTGAGTGCTAATCCAGTGCTCAAACTAACTACACCACGAGTTTAGGCTATTTAGGCAAATTTACTCATACCTAAATCTTACTGCCTTAGGTGGCATTCAGGAGCAGCTGTGTTGGCCATTTAGTAAATTCAAACAAAAATCCATCAATGATACCTTTATTGGCCAACCAAGATTTCAGTCAGATGCTTACATGTTGTTTTAGTCCTTAGTTAAGATGGTGTATGGTGGGGAGGATATCCTCCCCACCATATACCATCTTAACTAAAGACTGAAATATGTGTTAAGAGCCATCCCATTCGCTCCCATTGGAGATGTTAGTCAAGATGGTATATATGTGGGGAGGATAAGTAAAGACTGAAACAACACGTAGGCATCTGACTAACATCTCCAATTGTTTTTCTCCTGTTTGGTTTGTAACATCTTGCCTGATGAAGAAGCCCATGGAGCTTCGAAAGCTTGCAACAAGTATACTGTGCATTTTGCTTGGCCAATAAAGGTATCACTGATCGATTTTTGTTTGAATTTGCCTTAGGTGGAATTCTAGAGAAATTAGACAGCAAGCCCATGAGCACAGGTCTTGCTATTTTTTCATTCAGAAATCCCATTGAATTCAATGAAAAGTTGTTTCCGACATATGGCAACCCCAAAGCGACCCTATCATGAGTTTTCTTGGCAAGTTTATTCAGCGGAGATTTGTCATTGCCCTCCTCTGAGGCTGAGACAGTGTGACTTACTCAAGGTCACCCAGTGGGTTTGATGGCCGAATTGGGAACCCGGCTCTCCAAAGTTGCAGTCCAACACTCCGACGACCTCACAACGCTATTAAAGGGTTATTGAAAGAGAAGCGACTAATAATTTTTTTTTTAAAAGAACTGACTCTTAACACACATTTGAGATGCCAAGAAAGAAATCCCTGTATGAGGAGGTCATCATCATTCCTAATATATTGCCTAAAGCCTAAAACCACGAGGAGAAATTTCTGGCCAAAGTCCCCCAATACTGTTCAAGCTGGAGACAATATTGTCAGGGGAAAAAAAAAAACTTTTCAAGAAATTGGCTAATTCCCGCAACCCTCCATCCTTTCCAGACAGCTTAATTTGATTGATTCTCTCTCAGTCGTTTCTCTCATTTCTCCCATCTGAAGCTTTTGAAGCTTTTTTTTTTTTTAAACCCTATACTAAGGGTTGTTGTGTCTTGGTTGGATTGCCCTCTAGATTGTGACAGATACAGACACCAGAACAAACAAATTTCGACCC